GTGTGTGTGTGTGTGTGTGTGTGTGTGTGTGTGTGTGTGTGTGTGTGTACCTATCGCAGCCCCCGGCTGGCCATTCTCTGTGCGGGCCGCATCACACGCGGCACTTGTTAGTGGAGAAGGCAGCAGGCGTGCCTTGAACTTGCAAGTGGTGATTAGCACGCGATGCTGCCGAGTCCCGCGGCGGTATCTCTGCCTGTCCGCCAGCTTCGCCGCAAGCCAATGTCATTACAGAAATATTGTGATAGGTCCCGCAATTGTCCGCACGTCTAATTGCCTTATTATACGCGATTCGAGTCACCAATTATTTATTCGCGACGTTGCTTGACAATGAGAACTTCCAGCTTAGATATGTCAAACTGCCATCAGCCTACTTCCTTGTCGGTGTGCTGTCAAATTTCATTGACATCTTGCTATTAATTCATAGAAGAACAATAACACGCTAGTAGTTTGCAATGGCAATAACACATAAATCAGGTTGCCTTAATCAAAACAATCTCGATAGGGGGTTTAGCATAGCTAACAAGCACTTCCATGATAAATTTCATACTTCTTAACCGATATGTATATTTTTATCTGGTTAAAATATGTAGCTCATGGCCATTTTAATTCTTATTCGGAAAAACGCGGCTGTGCGCTTTGGGTAAGTAAAGCTTGGTAAAGTAAGACTATAAAAAAAAGGATTATGATACAGTGAATTGAGCGTGACTAATATACGGAAATACGAACAATAGTCTCGTCGGTTTTTTATTTTGTACACAAAGGCCATTCTGAGCAAGTACCAATTATGGTGACCTACACTCGTTAAAACATCGCGGCGTCTCAGAGTGAAGGAAAGCTAAATAAAACGCGTCTATTGAAGTGATCACGATTATACCTGCGCGAGATTAGAACACCGCCGCGGGAAAAATCGCCAATTAAATTCAACGCTTTTAATTTAAAAGGATTGCAGCGCCGCGTTTTACTGACGACAGTAATCAGTAATCAGCCCCCATGCGCGCGCGCGCCTATAATTAGAGAGGAAATTCATTTCACAATTATTAATCGGAGGATGATTCGGATGATTGGAATAACTCTGTCCTCCTCCGTGATAATAGCGAGTGTGTTCGTGGCCAGGGTGGGACGCCTCCTCCTCACACTGACGCGCCTTTCACGTCCGCGCGCTCGGCTCGGCAGAACAATTATAAGCCACGATGCCTCGCAGGCGTCGCGAATAGCAATTAGGCAATTTACCAGCGTGGCGAATAATTTTCAACTTTCCGCACCGCGCGCCTCTATTCTGCTCCCATCTGCTGAGTTTTGCGTCGAATGTATACGATGAAGACCGATTGGCTCTCGCATTTACATATTAATAGCGGCACGTGTATGTCGCAGTAAAATGTTTGCTTCCTTTCGGCGCGTGTTCATGGGTGCCTGCATGTGTGCGTGTGCGTGCGTCCGTGGCTGTGTGCGTGCGTGGGCGTGCATGTGCGTGGGTGGGTGGGTGGGATGGGTGATGTTGTCGATTGATGTCCCGCTGAGTATACACATGCAGACGAAAAGGCGTAATAGACAATGGAACGGCATCAGAATTACGAAATGAAATAATTGGTCGCATCCTTATCAGGATGTCTCAACTATAATAACTCCCGCATGTCGCAAAGTGGATAGAGCTCCGACTTGAAGAAATTCACCATATCCGACAAGCCGCGGATAAAATGCGTTTTCCTTTAATATCAACGATCATAGTCTATAACCGTGACATCTTTCGCGAATGTACTGCAATCCCGAGCTCTTTGAGATCCGCGCGTATAATTATGTCTATAATCACACGCCTTGTTCGAGCTGGCGCTGCAAATCAACGGCGACTCAATCATTGCTCGATGCATCCATTGAGCGCGCGCTTGTGCGTGTGCATGTGTGTGTGTGTGTGTGTGTGTGTGTGTGTGTGTGTGTGTGTGTGTGTGTGTGTGTGTGT